TTGGTAAGGGTGTCAAACTTGGGACCTTGCACTTGGGAGGCAGGTGGTGGAACCACTGAGCTAAACCTAACCCCTTTTTCAAAGGGAGGAATAAAGTGATCAAATGGTCCTGGAGGTATAAACTCTGTAGTGTCTTAGGAACAGCAAAACATGCAGTTTGCCAAGTACAGAAGCAACATTAAGGAGAACGATGGGAAGATAAGGAAAACTTAACCATTTTCCTCAATTATCGCCACATTTTTTCTTTGAGTTTCAAATGAAGCGCAGGGTTGGCTTACCTGAGGTTCGCTTGGTTTTCTCTGGGAACTGTCTCAATTCTCAGGAGTATCCTTTCCTGTTTCTTCTGTTTCAGTCCACCTCATATAGATGGTTATGAATTCCCATCCCTTGTATTACCATTTAGCCAAAACTGCTACCTAGAATTCCAGACTTAGAATTTTCTAATTGTCCCTTACCTCTATGTGGCCTCTCACTACTATCTCAGATTGATAGAGCAGACACTAATTCAGTCTTCTCCACCATCTCTGGACTTTATTCCATCTCTGTGATTAGTACTACCTCCCACCAGACTTCTCAGTGTAGAATGTGGACACCACCCTTTACTCCTCACTTTCCTTTGATTCCTGTGAACCTTCTTGCGAGTTTACCTCCTGAATATCTGCTGATTCTGCCCTCTTCTCTCTGGCCCTCTGCCACAACCCTAGTTCTAGTCATCATTGAGCTGAGTTAAGCTCCTCACATTTGGTCTTACCTCTAACTAAAGCCTCCTCCTTGCTGCACTCTGAACGATCCCTTTAAAATGTAAATCTCATCCTACCAAGCTTCTTTAAACTCTCCACTGGATCCTTTACTGCCCTTAGGATAAAATCCAAATTCCTTAAATTGTTTGAAAGGCCCTAGGGTGCTGGCCATTAACTGACTCCTAACCTACCTCTCTTGCTGCTCCTCAGAGGCTTGCTGTCTCCAGCTGTCCTGAACTGCTTTACTTTCTAAATCGGTCAAGCTTTGGCGCTTGAAGTTTTAACATGGGCCCCACCCCTGGATTCTACTTTGCTTCTGCCTGTCTACCGCTCTCAATAAGTAGGGCCCTTATAGGCAACAGTAAGTCAGGTTGACACACAAAGTTGCTAGTTGAATTCTTTGTTTTCTTCTAAACTATACACTTAATTCCAGCAGGGAATGTTGCACTTATCTACCATCATATCTCAGATTCCTAGACTGTCATATTATTTATCAAGAAACACATCCTTTACTATGCCACAGCATTTACCACTTGATAGCGTGCTTCTTCCAGGCAGCACCGAGTTCTGTTGATCAGCCAGACCCAGCACTTTGTGTTGCATTTTTCACCAGCTACTTTTGGGAGATTTATGTCTGTACTTACAAACATATAGGAATATAAGTTGTAGACGATATATTAGATGAGACTGGGAGCAACATGATTAATTTAGTAAATGTGCTGTAAAGTGTACATATGCATGAATATTTGTTTATGTGATACCATGTGCAGTAGAAGAAAAATCTGTAAGGCATTTGCTTAGGGTAAGGTTGGTTTAAATTCCAGCTCTCCACTTTGTAACACTGAGGTCTTGGGCAGATGACCCCCCAACACTCCTCGCCTCAGCTTCCTCATCTGCAAAATAAGAATATTTGATGTTACATAATAACTGCTGATTTGCAAGGTTGTAACAGAATGAGCATTTTTGAAAACAATTGCCCTCCTCTCTGGCCCCTGGTATTTGCTTTCTAACTTTTAAATTATTTTTCTCCTCTTCTAATAATGTTGCTATAGCTGGAACAATTTTGGAATTTCTTTCAGAAATCAGTCCTACCAGTGTGTCTGTGGGTTCCTTCTGCATCCATGGATTGAACCAAGTGCAGATAAAAAAATTCAGGAAAAAAAGTGTGTAGGTGCTGAACATGTATAGGTTGTTTTTCTTGCCATTATTCCCTAAATAATACTGAATAACGACTATTTACATAGCATTTACCTTGTTTTAAGTATTGTATTGATTTTGATATTGGTGTTTTCTGAAACCAGTCCCTCTTGGATACTAAGAGACTACTGTATTTCAATGGGAGAAATCTTTTCTCTTTAGGAATGTATTTGATTTTTTAAAAACAGTCTGGTTCAGAGAATAAGATCAAGATGGTTAAACCATCTGGATAGATATTCAGATTAAGTGTGATTGTAATGGGATTTTATTTTGTAGTGTTTAAGCTGGTGCATATTCTGACTTTCTCATAGGTGCCATTAAGAGCATATTCTACTTGGCACATTAAATTCAGGGAATTAACTATCACAAAATCTTGATTTTTTTTTTTTGAAGAGCACTCTGATAAATCAAGCAGTATTAAAAAGCTCAAAAGATCTGAGTTCTTTAATATACTTAATCACAAGTTAACCATCAAAATTTTACTTCTAGTAACAATTTAGGGGGAAGGATGATCCAAGGAGCCCAGCATATTCTCGTACACATTTGAGGCTGTTCTGTTTACAGCTAGGAGCATGGGAATCTGTGTGGCTGAAGCACAGCGAGGATGATGTTCTCTGTACATGACAGAGGAGCCAGCCCTGTCTTTAGAGTTCTGTCCTTCATTATGGGAAAGGAACCTGGAAGGAAGAAGTGGAGATGAGTGGAGAGAGGTTTACAGCTTTTACAGAGGCCTGAAGCACCTGTGCAGAAGGATCCACAGGATGAGTTCATAGATGACATTGGAGGCACAAGGAAGTTGGCCTACTAGAAAAAGCATTTAAAGCAAGTGATTGGGGGAGCAGAAGGGTGAGAGGCTGGAAGCCAACACTTCAGGATTGTGTGGAAGCTGGACAGGAGTCTGTGCAGTTGTAGGGAGATTAGTGACTATACACAGTCCGGGGTAATACCTAGTGACCATACTATGACAAGCCTAGTGTTACTTTGATATCCAGAGGTTACTGTGATTCCAGTATTTTACCCCTTTGTTTCATAGAAGGTCATAAATGTGAAGTATCAAGGATTATGGACATGTTAATTACTTATAAATATGGCACTATTTTATATCTTGAAGTGAGTAGTTGTTGCCAATGTTGAAATGATTCACTGGGAGCAGTGCAGGGGGAAGAGCAAAGCTGTAGTATTTGTGGGTCTTGGATGGGGAGGGAAATGGTGACACAACCCTTCTGCAGAGGGCAGAGTTATGCAAGCAGATAGGGGCTGCCAGTGGGCCAGGCTTCATAAGAGATTGGTCCACTTGAACTCCTTTTTTATCAAAGAGGAGCTTCAGAGGTACTGGTGCCATTAATAATTGCAGTAGGACATTGTTCTTGGGTAACTGACATCCGTTTGGATCTTGTTCTTCTCCAGGCAGACTGCTTGGTGACATTAGGGGTAGTTCTGTAGCATGGCCGTGGAAGAAAAGTCATCAAGCAGCTGTTGACTGCAACAATGGCAAAAAGCCATAATTTTTTTTTATCTCATTCAACCTCAATATTAGAATAGGATTTGAAATTATTCTGAAAATGCAGAATTCAAGGTCTTCACCCCTTTGCCTGCTTTCAAATTCTTTCCTGCAAATTGGCTTTTGGTCATCTCTTCTGGGTATTAGCTTTCTTAAGTGGTGTTAACCAAGTTGAAGTTACTATCTTAGGGATGCCATCTGTGTACATGAGCACAGACTTGTGTGTAAGGAAGATTCTTGGGCCCTGAATAGTCAGAGCCATTTGAAGTGCTCTTATGACACAGGTTAGAGACCTTTTACATTAAATAGAGCATCATACTCTGAGAAAATGCTTTCATTTTTGGAAGCCAAAACTTTACCTCGTGACAAAATTTTCTATTTATGATATAACCGAGTATCTGGCAGTGATATAAAAAAATAAGAGATTTAGATAAGTAACAGAAGCAACTAAACATCAAATTTATTTTTGGCAAATGACCTGAGTAATTTCCTTTGGATAAGAAAAATTCACAATATGTTTGCTAGTTTTCTATTATTTCCTGATAGATTGTCACAAGCTTAGTGGTTTAATACACCACACATTTAATATCTTATGTATAGACGGGCAGTCCACCACAGGTTTCTCAGGGCTAAACTCGGTGTCAGCAAGAGCTGCCGTCCTGGGGGCTCTGCATGAGAAATCACTTTCTGGCCCTTGGAACTTCTAGAGCCTGCCACTCTTTGGCTGATGGCCTCTTCTGTCTTCAAAGCCAGAAACTGACCATCCTTCCAGAGTCCCATCCACCTCTGAGCACAGCTGGGAAAGCTGCTCTGCTTTAAGGCCCTGGTGGAAAGAGTGGGCCCATCCAGATAATTCAGGATAACCTCTCAATCTCAGTCATAAATTTTAATCACATCATCTTTAATAACCTCTTTGCCATGTATGGTAACATAGCCTCGAGTTCTGGGGTGTAGGTTATGGACACTTTTTTGGGAAAGGGCATCCTGTATATGCTAATATAGAAATACTTAACATTTGATTCAGCAAGTGTATTTTTCAAATGTGCTCATGATTTAAACTTCCACTTTTATTTATAGGGAAGAGATGTATAAAAAGCAAAAACTCCACACATTTTGTATGGGTCTTTAATCTCCTACGAAAGCTAATGCTCTCTCTTGTTTGCTTTGATTAGTGATAACCTTCTAAGGAGAGCGGCCTGTCAAGAAGCTCAGGTAATGCATTTTCTGTGATAAAATTAAAACCCGCCTTACTTCGAAGGTGCAGGAAACCCCTCCCACTCCAGGGATGCACACAGTGTGTTGCAGCAGCCCAGTGTGCTCTTTTTCCTACTATGGGGGGTGGGATGAATGGGGCTGAAAGCCAACTCCGAGTAGCAGGGGAGGAAGTTAAGCGTCTGGCAAGAGCAGTTCTAACCCATCCCTTTAGACTTGTTTACTTTTGAATCTCTCAGAAGCACACATAACTGGACTAGCTGAAGCTCTGGGAATTTGCTCTTGTTTGCATTTATCCTTGAAGGCCTGGCTAAACCCTGACTCATCTCTGATCGGAATAACCCCCAAGGATATCAGTTCAGAGCAGGTGTTATTACTCAGAGTTGAATCTCCTTAAAATTGTTGATTCATACTTAAAAAGCCCCTTTCTTTAGCGCAGCTGATTCATTCCGTATGCACTGTTATCCCAATTTCATGACACTTCACATTGACATTTGCTTACCTGGTTGTAATTATAGTTGAATTATAAATCCTTTCAATTTGAAGAACATTCCTCATGCTGCTTGTATACTATACCTTGCAGATGAATTTATGTGACTCAGTTTCCTTTTTGTTATATGTTACTTAAGCTCTTGGTGACAGAAATACCCAAAAAGAAGCATGAAAGTAAAAAATGGCAAAGGGATGAAACCTTTAGTACAAGTGGGAGCAAACCTAGTGTTTTCTGAAATGTTTTCACAGATGACAATATCAGGAGTTACTATTAGTAAATTCCTCTCTTCTGTGATTGTTATCTAACACTTCTAAATCTGTGATTTAAGAATTTTTACTTTAAAGGTCATTATCTTACATGGCTCCAAGTTGTTTTACAAATCAGTTTGCACAGATTTTTAAAAATTTAAAATGTCTTAATTGACACAAGATGTGTACATATTTTTGAGGCACAGTATGATACTTTGATACATGTCTGCAATGTGTAATCCTCAAATCAGGGTAATTATGAAACAATTTTAATATTTAAGTTAAAGGTGATTCATCCCTCCCAACATCCTCCCTTAGGTAAGAGAATTCCATTTCCTCTTACTGTTTTCAAGGACAGTGTCCTGCTTCTAATATATGGAACTCTTCCTACTATTGTGAAAATTCTCTACCTCCCTAGCACACAGGTAGCTGCTTTCATGTGCCCAAAGGAAGTGGATTTGTCTTTGCAGCCTTCTCTAATTACTACGTCCTTCTTAGTATATGATTTTTAATTTCCCATAAACTGAACTCAAGTGTAGTCTCATAAACTCCTCAATCCACTCTCAACATGAGACTTGAATTGCAAGTGGGTAGCGCATCTAGATAGTGCTTTCTCAGATGAGAAGGGGATCAAGAGATGAAAAAATTAAGATGTGTTATGTACATGTACCAACTCCCCACAAGAAATGTAATCATTATGTACTATGAGTACAAATTAAAAAGAACACAGGAACTTGAAAAACTAGGATGAGGAAGAATAATTTAGTACTTCAGATTTGGAGTCTGGTAGGCTAGGAAGCCGGGTTAGTTAAATCATTTCTGGCCACATTCCAGAGTAATATAGGTAGGAAAAGAACAAATTATAATTTTTGGATACTTGGTAGCAAAATGTTAAGGTCTAATTAAGAGTGAAAATGGAATAGAAACGATAATGTACCAGAAAATCTTTACAAAGAAAGTATGTCTCTTAAGTAGTCAGACATTTTTTTAAGCAAGAAAGTATTTTAATAGACTGTCAGGGAGATTGTTTAGTACTTCCTTAGAACCATGCATGTGAAAGTGACATATATGAGATGCTTAGTAGAGATTACTCCCATTTCTTTCCCTGTGTCAGTTATACAGGGCTACAAAGACAAGGCAATTAGGTTGACTTCTTGTATGTAGAAAAATATGGCGATCAACTGATGACACAAAAGATTTCTCATGTATTCATGTTACTAATAGTTGAAGGAGAAAAAGTTTATATTCTGAAAGCTACACTGGAGTAAACTTCCTTCCCAACAGCCAATGGTTACACTGGCTGTATGTTTGTCAGAAAGTGAGCCATGTTGTCCATAGAGAAAAAAGTTATGTACCTCTAATAGGTGAAGCACAGTTTTTATTCTAATACAACATTGAGTTTATTGTTATTATATAATGGTACATTGTATTTTTTATGATATTTTGTTAGTATGAGATCATAAATGAATATTTTATCTCCAGAGTGGGTAGTATATCTGCTGGAAGTAAATTCTTTTGGAATGAAATAGTATTTGTGCACTAGCTGAATAAAATAATATTTACTGAACACTTTTTTTTTCTTTTTTTAGGTGTTTGGCAACCAACTCATTCCTCCCAATGCACAAGTGAAGAAGGCAACTGTCTTCCTCAATCCTGCAGCTTGCAAAGGGTATAGTTCTGTTTGTGTTGTATTACATATTCCATTTGTCTTATCAAGCAGCTAGTTAGACTGTATGGAATTAATTGGAAAAACTAAATTAATACTGTCATAGCAGTAACAGTCATTCGCAATGTAGAAATAACAGTTAACGTGAAATAACTATAAAGCTAACTGAGGCTTAACAAACTTGTCTAATTGAAGTTTAACAGTGATTCCAAAGTTAACCAGAACGGAGAAGTCTTGTGTGCTTGAAAGTGATCCCCTGGGAACACCTGCTCCGCCTCATGGTGTAGACTACTGGACTGTCCCTGTAGAAAGATGCCCAGGATGGCCACGAGCACTGGGAGGGCAGGATGCTTACTCTGTTGAGCAAGGTCTTGGAGACTACTCGCTACTCCTCAATGAGGAAATGGCCATGGGGCAGTGGCCTAGAGGCTGAAGTGACCTATGTTTATGCTTGTTATGTCTCAGGGCGGTCTGTCACTCATATGAGGGAGTTGTATGAATAATAGTGTGAAGTTAATGTGTTGGTTCATTAATTGTATCATAGTGATATAAAGGGAATCTAGAGGGGCAGACAGTATGGAAACTCAAAGTCTGTTAATGAAAAAATTACCATAGGTAAAATTAAAAAATAAGTTTTACAGTGTTAGATGCTGGTCTCATCAATTGGAAAGCTGAATATAAGGACTTTGGCTTTGGAAGACATAAATTTTATTTTAAAAATTAGAATGAAAGTGTTGAAGGGAAAAATGCTAATCTTTATTATCCCCAGTGTTCAAAACAATTCTTTTTGGCTATTCTGAAGATTGAGTTATTAACAAATGTGTTAGATTGGGTCATATAAAATGTAAATCAAATGAAGATGAGAACAAAAAGAATAATTGAGGCCAGATTGTGAGGTTACTGTGGTCTGGAGTAGCCTGCCACAGAGCTCTGCCGTCAGTTTCTCTAGGCCATTGTTGGCAAACCGATGGAGTGTGTGCCATAGTGGGCTGTTTGTATCATTGAAGCTCTGAAAGCTTCACCATCACTGCTGGGCATTTCTTGGAAGGCAGTGAGAATGACTTCACAAATAGACTGGTCATACCTTTTTCTTCCCAGTTCAACAGTTTAAGGGTGTTTGTTTGTTTGTTTTAATCTACATATAAAAGGAATTATTCCCTGATCTAATGGAATCCTATTTTCTGGGCTTGCTTAGAGCAGCCTCCTTGCAGAATAAACACAACAATCACACCTATTGGATCACTAATAACAGTGCCAAACAATACTAACAGATAAGCCGTAAAACAACATAACCAAAATACCCGAGGTAATTAGTGATGGCCTGTGGAAGAGACACAGAGAACTCAGCCCTGGATTTCAGACTTCAAGGGTCCTGGTCTGTATCTTGTTTTACAGCTGCTCTCTAGCTCTGGAGAGCTAGTAATACTGCAAGAATTACTTTTTAAATCCTCAGTTTACTTATCTGTAAAATAAAATAGTGGCACATATTTTAAAAACAACCATGGAGAATAGGTGCCCTTAGTATTAAATAATTCCAGGGCCCAGGATTTAGCTCAGCACTGTGCCTGCCTTGCATGTGTAAGATCTTGAGTTCAATCCCTGGTCCTGAAAAAAAAATATATAATGATGATGATGTCAGTAAGTGTTAAGCATTATTTCTGCTTCATAGCAAGTTCTCAGTATAAGGAGCAGAAGCTGCTGTTGCTGCTGTTATTGACTCTGGCTAAGTCCAGAGCGTTCTCCATTTTGCTCTCCACTCTAATCGAGAGTGCTTGCATCTCTCCTTCCACCTACTTCCATCTAACTTAGAATTCTGTGTTCTGACCCTTTAGTGATGGACTAAGTTATTTACTTGCTAACTTGTGATAACTTTATGGTAGTTTGCTTAAGCTATCTTAAGCTATAATTAGTTATTTCAAATTCTTTGTTGGTTTTTTTTTTGGTGCTAAGACTTAAACCAAGCATGCACTCTACTACTTACATTTTTTTTAAAAATTAAATTTTATCTTTTCAGAGCAGTTTTAGGTTTACTTTTTGATGTGTAAACGTATTTGTGTTTTTAAAGATGAGTTCTTACTTGAGAGTATAATACTGTCAATGAAAGCCAGGCTAAGATACTGCCACTGAAGCAAAGTCTTTCTTTCCTGAAGGCATTGTCTTCTTAAACAAGGCGAATCCCTGTGTGCTGCTGTGAAACTCTGCAGCATCTATTTTTAAAAAAATTTTTCATTATTTAATTGCACTATTTTTGTCATCATGGCTCTGCCCTGACACATAATTTATAATTTATCATGTAGCTGTTTCATTATGTAGTACTGGTTTAAAACTTCAGGAGAGTTTTAAGAAATAAGATAACTGTGTGTTTAGTGTTAATAAATAATACATTAAAGAGTAATTATTTTTTGTGCGTGCTGAGCCTGGAAATTGCTATATGTACATAAAGTTTTTATTTAGCCGTGGTGCTATCTTGCCCTTAATTATATAATAAATAATATATCCTTACTGGTAACACTTGTTCTTCAATCTTTTATGTAGAATGTCAGAAGCGAATGTCGTCGCCTTCATTTCAGAGATTTTCTGAACATGAAAGCATATAAAGATGTGAATAAACACCAAATGTTCATATCTGTTTTCTTAAATGAACTCAGGGGAGTTCAGATTTGTTGTGATTGATATGGCGGATTGAGAGTTCTCCAGAGCTTTGCTTCTGGGTACTCCACTCTCATCAATGAGAGCAACCTTGGAGAAAGAATTGTTTGAGTATTACCATCTCAGCCCTTTATTTTTGAGTTAAGCCCCCAAAACAGTAAGCCTGAAAGAGAAATTTCCAGTTAGCCTTTCATGTTCATTCTGTTTATCATGGAGAGCAGTAGAAAAGTTATACTATAGTTTACTTAGCATATGTTCAGGAAAGCCTTTGCCAGTTCTTGTGAACATCTGTCCAGGCTTCTCAATTTCTATTTTAGTTGATAAATATTTTGGGGCTAGGGATTTAGCTCAGTGATGCCACCGCCTGCCTCGCAAGCGCAAGGTCCTGAGTTGGATCTCTGGTACTGCCCCCCACAAAAGAAAGTTTGTTTTCTGAATGCCATTTGGTGGTTGTATCTTTTTAGTGTAAAGGACATTGAATTTGGGGCCATATGACTTTACATACTCTTCATTAGGTACCCAGTCAAAAGCATACATTGTTGGTAAAAAAACAAAACAGCAAAAAACTTTTTTATAAAGAGGATTGAATAGATATGGATATAAAACTTAGATGTTTGACATTGATTTTTTGGAAATATTTATTTTTATAATGTGATTGTTAAACATATGATTCAATTTATATGAAATTCTAGAAAAGGCAAAACTATAGCAGTGCAAGTAGATGAGTGGCTCCCAGGTGCAGGGAGTGAGGGCAAGGTCTTGACTGCAGAAGGATATGAAGAAATTTTTAGAATGAAAAAGATGTTCTGTGTCTTGATTGTGGCGGTATTTTATGACTACACACATTTGTTAAACTGAACATTGGAGAAGAATGAAGTCATGGACCTCACATGCCTCTCCCCGTTTTACCTCAATAAAGCTGATTTTAAAAATGAAAATAAGATACGTAGGTGTAAAGGTTCAACTAAGTGGTAAAGCTTAGTGTTTACTTGTTTTTGAGACTATGGCATTGTCTTAAATGAGACTTTTTATAGCGTCTACATCCCTTAACCCCTAGACTGTTTTGAATCTGACCTGCATTGGATTCACTATCAAAATCATATGTATGATACTTTTGAAATACAAAAACTCACCGAAAGGGTATAGAACAGTTTCTCTTGTATGACATCATGATCATGTCATTCTCTTTGCCTTAAATTTATGTGTCCACATTTGGGGTAGATTTATTTATTTATGCATCTATTCATCAACTATTTAGTACCTTCAGAGTATGCTGTGCATAATCATAGAAGATGGATTTAAGGAATAAAAAGAGGTGGTGTTTTTGCAAACTTTCGGTCTAGTCCTGAAGATAGTCTTGGATATCTGTATTAGCTTTCCCATTGCTGACAATATCTGACACCTGCAACTTACATGATAGTGTTATTTGGCTCAAGTTTTCAGAGGTTTCAGTCCATGGCCAGCTGGCTCCAATATCATGGTGAAAGGGTGTGGTGGAGCAAATCTACTTACTTCATGGCAGACAGGAAGCTGAGCAAGCGGGGAGAGCACCCAAGAGAGGTGTATCCTGCAAAGGGCACACCCTTACCACCTCCCAACAGCACATTACCCTCTGAATGTCAGTGGATTAATCCAGCAATGAGTGTAGTGCTCCCATGGTCTAAGAAACTCTACCAGAGTCTCAGTCTATTCAAGTTGATGATTAAGCTTCAGAATCATAGTATCTCTGATCTTCAAATACTGTAAAAGAGGGGGTATATAGGTGCTAGAGAAACAGAGAAGGACATGACTGTGCCAGTTTTTGACTAATTATCCCATAGTTACATTAGATCATTTTTGATGTTTCCCTTTTCTAGAGAAATAATGGAAAATATTTTTCCTCTTTATCCAGAGATTTCATTATGATGACATCTCAAGATATGGAGATACCTGTCCTACTTGCAATTGTCAAAAATAGTGTACCTCTTTCTAAAGGGTTTTGTCAACTGAGCCTAATTTAAGTAATATTCTATGTTGTCTGTTGTTTTTGGGCTACATGAATAATGTTATAGTAAATACTGTCCCCATCTTCCACTAGAATGTAAGACTATATCTTGAGAGTACAAGTAAGTTCCATGAGGACATGTAGTTTTGTCTATTCTGTCAGTGTTAGGTTCTTGGCTCCTCTCCTGGGTCTGTCACTCAGTAGGTGCTCATTGAATGAATCAGGCATTGTTTTCCTGAGCAGAGCCACATCTACTGTTCATCTTCTCCAGAGGAGCACAAGTATGAGCCAAGCATTCCAAATGGATAAGAGGTGATTTTATTAGACAAAGGGCAAACTGGTTTCCTGCTTGTTGAAACTCATTATTCAATGTATGTCTTGTACTTGCACAACTAAAGGAAACCTGTGTCCCATAGTCTTTCTTGTTCTAGAGAAGATGATTGGGATTTTATTCTTCTCAAGAACTTGTATTAAAATATTTGTATTTTTGCTTTCTGTACAGCAAAGCCAGGACTCTATTTGAAAAAAATGCTGCCCCAATTTTACATTTGTCTGGCATGGATGTGACTGTCATTAAGGTAAGAAGAGCTCTGCAGTATAAGTGTTATTTCACCCAAGGTTCCTCCTCCCCTACTCTACCATATGCTCTGCTCTTGATTTCTTAGCAGAAGTTACTTGTCATTTAAGACAAGAGCAAAGAAATCAATATTGTGTCTTGTTCTGACAATTAATAAAAGCAGTTTTGTTTTGTTATGACACTATCTGCTTTTTATTTTCAGAACAGGATTAGTTGGAGGCATGGAGACCTTGATGCCTTTCATTTGAGAGAGAGAGAAAATTATTCCTTGAAAGATGAACGCATTAGAATTCTTTTTCTGAAAATACAAAACCCTCAAATTGAATAGTTTAATTTCTTGGTAGTTTCACAAACAGATAAACATTCTTCTGGTAAGGAATTCTCTTGTGAGAAATTTTAAACAATAAATCTTTAGAATTTGTGCATTTGGTGAAAAAAGGGACAAAAATAAGTTACATGTGCTAAATCAGAAGATGCCTTAGTCTCTATTTTGTTGAATTTTAAATCATATATATGTGGGTGTATATTTAGTGAAAGCTATTTTTACAGTGTTTGTAAGTCTGTGGTTAACCTGTTTCTAATATTACGTGCTTTCAGTAAGACAGAAGTTCAGAACTCATTTAGTCTTCATTTACCATGCAATTTTGAGCTCTCCCACTGTGCCAGAGATATGATCTTTCAGTTATTTACCTTCAGGGATAGGGATAAGGGGAAGAAAACATTTATTTGAGTACCTACAATGCACCAGATTCTAGGTATGAGAGCTCTTGAATGGTTATGTAAGACTGATACCTGTTCTTCGAATGGTTGATGCAGCTAATGGATAAAACCATCTGGGCTTAGAGCTTTTGTAAGTGGAATTTTCTTTGTGTACTAAATTTCTTTCATGGTTCTAGAGAAATACTTAAGTTGTATTGTAAAATTCTTTTTTAAGTTTGGCAAAGTAAAATTTTCATAGAATTCATTTCATCTAAGTTTTCACTTGGTTGGGATCAAGTTATTCATAGTATCATCTTTTTAACTTTTAAATTTCTGTAGCATATATAATGTCCCATTTTAATTTTGTTTTGTCTGGGACTGGGCATTGAAGTTGGGGCCTTTATACTGAGCTACATCCTCAAGGCATACACCACCCCTTCTTAAAAATTTGAGATTAGTTCTGGATAAATTGGCCAGGCTGGGCTCAAACTTGCTATCTTCTTGCCTCAGCCTCTGAGTGCTAAAATTACAGATGTGTGCTATCAGGCCTGGCTCCATTTTTATTCTGTTTGTTTGTTTTTTGTTTTTTTTTTTTGATTGGTGCTGGGGATCAAACCTTAGGTTCTTGAACTTGTGAAGCAAGTGGCAGAACCATTGAGCTAAATCCCTGACCCTCTTTTCATTCTTAATATGATTTCGTTATGCCCTATTTTTCTTAGTGGTCTTGTTTGGCAATTAGTCTTTGTCAAGAATAGTTTATTGACTTACTCATCTTTACCTGTGTTTTTAATTGAATTATTGTCTCTCTTATTTATTTCTGTTTTTTTCTTTCTGTTTTTACATTTTAATTTGATGCTTATGGAGTATGATAAAAAATACCATGACTATTTAAATTAAAAAAATTATTACAGTAAAAGACACACACATTGCCACTAATTCCCATGAAAGTACTTCTCCTTTCTTTGAACAGACTTAATCCATCATTCTTGCCACTTCTGAAGCAGTTTTGTAAGTCCTCTTACATGAATATCTTTAGTTGTGTGATCATGGCTGCCTCTACCTCCTGAATAATTTTCAAAACTTTTACCTTTTATGGTTATTTTGACTCTGGGGAAGAGCCAGACGTTGTACAGATCTGAATAAAGGTAGGATGAGGACACATTTTAATGTTTTTGTTAGACAAAAATTATTGTAAACATTATGAATTGATTCAGAACAACAGGGCAGCCATGAAAAACATGAAGGAGGACTTCCAGAACTGCTTCATAAAGTGTCAAAAACAGTGGGATAAGTGATTTAAAGGGAGGGGAGTATCTTGTGGGGAATTAATGGCACTTTGATTTTTACTGTAATACTGTAATACAATTCAATTTTTATTTAAACATTCACCATATTCCATGATCATGGCTCATGTTTCACTAATTTTCAGCTTTTCTGTTACATATATAGCTTTATAATTAAAACTATAACTTATAGTCTGTTGCTTGAGTTATGTCCTATAACTTTTGTTACAATTTGGATTTTTTTTTAATTTTTTTATTTTTTTGCCATACCACAGATTGAACTTAGGACCTTGTACTTGTGAAGCAGGCACAGTGCCACTGAGCTAAATCCTCAGCCCCTATCTTGTAACTTTTGACATACAGTGGTTTCATTATCATTGATTTCTAATATTTTCTAATTTCCATCATGAATTTGCTTGAGTTGTGCATTATTTAGACATGTTTTAATTTCTAGATCTAAAGTTTCTAAAGTTATCATTTTGTTCATGATTTCTGATTTAATTGCATCGTGCTAGCTGGGCATGGTGGTGCATGCCTGTTATCCCAGCACTCAGGAGGCTGAGGCAGGAAGATCACTGTGAGTTCGAGACCAACCTGGGCTACATAGTGAGTTCCAGGTCAGTCTCAACTACATAGTGAGACCCTGTCTCAAAAAAAAAAAAAAAATTGTATCATGATAAAAAAAATCCAATATAATTCAGTATTTTAAAGTTTATTGAAATTCATTTTTATAGTCAAAATGTGGCCTTTTTTCATAAATGTTCCATGTATGCCTAAAAATAATACATATCCATTATCCGGTACCATGTTGTGATAATGTTCAAAAGGCAAATATGATCATTATGTGGTTCACATCCTCTGTGTACTTCCTGATTTTTATTCTTTATAAATTATTCAGACAGGGGTGTTAGGTCCAAAATCTTTTTTTTTTTTTTTTTTAATTGAGTTTATTGGTACATTTAGGGATACAGTACGGTTACATTCATTGTTGGGATCATGTACCTTTACATGGCAAGTCTTGATTCTCATTTTTTTCCCCTTACCTCTGCCCTCCCTTCACCCCCTCCTCCCCTCCCCATCTACAAAGGTCCAAAATCTTAATGAGAGATTTCTATCTGGGACCAGGTATTTAGCTCAGTGGCACTGCGTCTGACTTGCAAACATAAGATCCTGAGTTCAATTCCCAGTACCGGAAAAAAAAAATTATTACAATTGTTGATATATTTAAGCTTATTTCTACACCAGTTAGCTATTACTAGAAACAAACTGACTCAGCCACTGCTTTTTCTCATTATGATCCTCTTTAGTCAGCAGTCTATGTTTAAGATATTCTTGTGTTGGTCTTGTCTCACCCCCTCAGTGGTGTGGCTCACACAGCATTTCTCGTGGGTCTTTAGATTGATGATAGCTATCATGTGGTCAGTGTGTCTTTACTATGCATCTTCACATGGGAGATTGGATCCTTGACATAACAGACACCATCTCATTTTACCCCTGAATTCTTTACTGTCTGTATGTTTTAGCAAATGTAAGTATTTTTCTAAGTAACTACAGTGACATTTTTCATACTCAGCGAAAGTAACAATTCTCTAGTATCTTAGAACAACCTAGCCTATATTCAAATGTCCTGACTTCTGTTTATATTTTTTTCTAATTTGATTCTTATCAGTACATACAAGTATAGAATATACATTAAATACTTGAGAAATAGGCATTTAAAAGAATGAGATTTAGAGCTGGGGATTTAGCTCAGTGGTTCTGGCACCTGCCTCACAGGTGAAAGGTCCTGAGTTCTATCCCCGGTACCAAAAAAAAAAAAGAGAGATTTAAAAAATTAATAGGGCCAGGAATTTAGCTCAGTGGTTCCTCCGCCTGCCTTGCAAGCACAAGGTCCTGAGTTCGATCCCTCGTACAAAAAAAAAATTATTAGAAGCAGAAATACTAATGTTTTCATATATGAAATAGAAACAGCCGCTATTTGCAAGTTTTATTGACCATTTTTTATTTTTTTTGGTACAAGGGATTGAACTCGGGTCCTTGTGCTTGCAAGGCAGGCCACCGAACCGCTGAGCTAAATCCCCAGCTATTTTTTAAAGTTCACTTTTTTTTTTTTAGAAATAATTTCAGTTTTGGTATCATACCTCTGTGAATGTAAAATATCTTGTACCTGCTTTATGATATGTAGTAGGGGCTGTGCTTTATCAGAACTATTTTTAATGATATTACTCTAGAATGTTCTCTTTCCAGATGATGATTAAGATGCTAATAAAAAAAATGGTGCTGCATACAACAATAGCAACAGAACTTTGCTGTTTTCTGGGTATTATTCTTTTCTTTGATTTTTTTTTTTTTTTTTTTAGTGGAATGTGCTGAATATCTATAATTTTGTTCACATGACTGCAGAACCTGGAAAAGCTGTTGCTGCTGTTGATGCATAACATACTGCTCTTATTGGTCTTTTTATAGAAATATAAATATATATACACACATATATATAATTTGAATTTTTGGAAACTTTAACTGTGCTGTCAACTTTGGGAAGTTATCCCAATTTACTGTGTTGGGTTGGCATTGTACAGAAATTGACAGCCATATTGATCTAGAAATGTTAATTTTTTTCCATTTGTACAGGGATAATGCGCTGTATTAAATATGTAAGGTCATATCTACATGGATTTGATTAGAGAAACTAATATTCTCTAAATAATGAAAAAAAGAAGATAAGACTATAAGAGCAAGAAGCAATTTAAATATGTTCAGGGACCATTTTCATCCTCAGAATTAAGGATTATTTTAATCTTATATCATTGCCTTTTCTCTTTTACTTTCCTTTTTAGTTTTATGTTAGGATTCCCTGTTTTTAATGTTCACACAGAGATCTCTTTAACTGAAATACCGAATAGTTTTTCTGGTGTGAAAAAATATAATAGCACCCAAGATCCTAATGAGATATTTAATAATGTGAAATAGGAAGTAAAGGACTAAAGGTGTAGGGAAAGTGGGAAGGGTGGGGGAAAGG